GAAGTCTGAATTCGTAAAATTCCATTCACTGTACGATTAGATTACAACAAAATTACGGAGAGTACTGTTTTTTTTAATGCTTTTTAGAAAAATACAAGATAAAGGAACAAAAACAAATTAAAATTACTTACATTCGAATTTAATATATATAAGATACATAGATTACTGCGACATTTATTCTCAGTAGGAAGTAATAGAGACAAAAAAAATGTGTTTAAAGACCAACTTGAGAAAACAATTCGACCGACTAACTTAATTCGGTTCTATTCACAAAAGCAATCCCGATGCTAAGTTATACGCCGCAATAAAGCTGTAGCTAACTTATATAATTTTATGGTTGCTGTTAATGAACAAAGTTGTGTATATGATCTAGCTAGATATATGGAAGGCGTTTTGGCCTGTTCTGCTATGCTACGCGACGTTGAAAAAGATTGCAATTGTCGCCTTCATACTTAGACTACAACTTGAAGGTCAGCTACGCTCTCTGGATAATATATGCAATTAATTTGCAAAATCTTTTGCAATAATAGTAGGTAAGGCTCTAATCGAAGACATTTTTGAAAGCGCCCCATATAGTCAGTAGTTAGTTGTCCTGTTTTCATGAGCCAATGCTGAACACGTCCATCGTCACTCGTAGTGTTATTTTGGCGCCTTTGAATTCGAAACGCTGAAATTTCTGGAATGACCGTCACCCAATGTAATCTTGTGTTTTAACATTGAACCTACCAAAGAACCTAGTCATAACAGATGACGCACGCTTAAAGCTATCTCACTCCTAAGGAAAAAAAACTTCACTGAAGTAAGTCAATTGGACGACAATACTCAAATTCAGAGCGGCCGCTTTTCCTGTTTTTTCAGCGTGAAGGCCTTCGCCCGCCATTGACGGTGGCAGTCACATGAGTGTTGTCGAAAATTGCCATGGAGAGTTAAAGAAAGACAGAATGTGCTTTAGATTCTTAAGGCTTGTTGTTGTTCATGGGGATATATCCTATCCGTTGCTGTACAAAGCGAACGGGACATTCTACAAAAAAAAATTCGAATAAAAAGGCTGATCGGTTATGACACTCCAGCTAACTATTTTATTATGTTAAAACAAAAACGCGAACTACAGCAACTAGCAATAACTCCATTAATGTTTTTTGATTTCTTATATGTAATATAAGTTTATAATATAATTTTTATTCCTTAAGAAAAACGTATACGTTTCTTTAAAACCCTTCTTTTATCAAGTCATGACCTTATAGGGCATATTAGTAGTGCCGTGGAGATAAAAACAACAGATTCGATTGAAAAAATGATACTTTTTTGCTTTTTTTTTTTACAAACGGCTCCTGCATTGACGCTCGTTGTGGAGGCACTATTAACATAAAAGGGGTCAGCTCATCTGATAGTTCTAGCACCGTATTTGGCCCTATATTTAGCACAGGTTTAATTATTTAACCGGCGATCACAAGGATAATGCTCTTTCTGTCTGTATAGTCTTCAGTAAGTCATGGCGTGTCAAAGGAAAACTCGTTGGTCGTTTATTACTGTAAACATAGCCTTTTTTTTTTGTCTGTAGTCGTTCGCTTGTGAATACTGTCAAATTAGTGAAGCGAGAAAGAACCCAACTTGTTAAACCTACTTAAGCTGGAGTGCAGTGACTCTTATATTGTTGCGCTTATTATAGAAACGAAGCCGGATCTAGCTGAAAAATATCATAAAACGAGTAACTGCCATATTGATGTTTTCATTGTGCTAAATATTAAAGTAAGACTGTAATATGTAAATGAAATATTTTTGTAAGCATATCTATATATTTTTAATGAAGTCATTTTGAGGTTGCTACGGACCGGATGACCGTTCCCGCATTAGTGTTATCCGCATTCACAGTAACGTATATAGCCTTGGTTATTATCACGCTGGCCATTAATATTATCGGTTTGGTCAATTGTAATCCAAAGAGAATCAGTCGGGTCTATGAGCAGCTTTTGATTGGTAGGTTTAAACGCTATAAACCGATGATCTCCAATACAGATTCACCGTGTTGATGAGATATCATATCTTTTGTAGATAGAAGTGGCAAGACACCGCCGTTATCTTGGATTCGTTTGCGTAACCAGCTCTTTTATGTTCCTGTAGCGTTGCAAAAAATATGAAAATTATTAGTAGACTGATAACGGAATCTTATCGTAGCACCAGTTAACAGTCGGGAGAAAACAATTTCTTATGCGGAAATTTTTGCGAAGTCCGTGGTGCTGGCCCTGTTGTTTGTTACTACGTGATCTCATTGCATCGGTGTCAGCGACTGCCGTGTCGTTGTCGCGTATAGGGCAAGCTGACGTTATAAGGTGCGGGTCTACCTTGTAGGCTTGCTGAGCACCTTAGTGGACGGCAAGGTGATACTGAACGATTGAGCTCTAACCTTCCACCCCGATCAGCCGGCTCTCTTTACTTTGCTTTCTTCGCCTGGTTTTACCTAGCCTTTCTACTGCCGTGCTCACAAGTAAGGCACCTATTCTCTTGCTTTTTCTGTTTGGTGATTGCTTGCCCGTGGCTTGGCCCATGGGCCAAACGAAAGGAGTATACCAACTGGAAAATTTAGCCGATGAACGAGTCAATTCAGTGGGTGTTTTTCTTTTTTTACCATTTGTTATTTTTTTTTTTGGGCTGTTCGTATAACTTCTGAGGTCGTTACGTTGTTTAGGTTTGGAACAAGAAATTTTGAGAAAATTTGTTTCTTGTCCAGATCTTCCTTTTGTCTTTTAAGCCCTTTTGTTGCATCCTAACCGCTACTAAAATGACAGACACTTTGTCATTGGTTAGCCTGATCTTCGGTTGAAAATAAAGGTGCCTTTATACATAATAGCAGGAGTAATTCTTTGTTCGGTACGTGCCATTAATAACGCACCCTATTAGCTGGTCTTCGTAATGTAACGGCAATTTTTCTGTAATGACAACAGATGATTCAGTCGTGCCAATGTATCACACTAGTGCACCCCGTTCAGCCTATCGTATAGTGGACTTCTAACTGCTGCGTCAATGAGTACTGTAGGCCACGTCGATAGTATGGTGACAGTAGCAAGCCATCGCTGTTAGATGTTGCGTCAGCCTTGATAGAAATGTAGTTTGGCAGTGCAGCTCAACTGCGCGCAAGCGTCTGGGCGCGAATTGCAGCAATTTAGTTCTTTCGGCGGTCAAATCAACTGACTTGACCCGTTTGCCATCTCATACGCTACTGGCTTAAGGCGTTGTGCTACTATCGCATTTAACAGCATTTGAAGCCACTCTGCCAGTGGCACCACTTTTCAGCTGGAAAATACTCCAAAAGAAGAGCAGGTTTCAAAGTATAGAGCCTTGCGGAAGGAAAACGAAACAAACTAAAGGGTGGGGGCGGGGGAATTAAATCAAATAGGTAAGAGGTGGGAGGAGGAGGGAGTGATTAATAGTGCGCATGCAGGCCACTTTGGGTTTCAACCGTCTACATTTTCTTTATGCTAACTACGGAAGTCAAGGCTTCTAGCTAAACCGCCATTATTGTTCAAACATAGATAATGTGTGTCTTAGGGCGTTGGTTTAGCGACTGTGAGTGTTTCTAATGGTCCAGCTGTTTGAATGACACTTTTTAAACAAATCTTCGTTACTTAATTATTACGATCAAACTTATTATCTACTTTTAGCTTTAAATCTTACTTTTTTACATCGGCCGAGGAATAAAGATATGAATCTTTATTTTTTGTCAATGCTTCAACTCCGTTGTGAGACAGCATCGATTTAAAAAAGCCTAGTAGTCGTCGACACATAAATAGATAATCGAAACATTCTGCATTTTGCATCGTCCTCAACTATGCCGTAGGATGGTATTCACGTAGAAAGAGCTAGCAAATAGCCAGAGCTTTAATTTACTCGAAGGCCATAAGCTCATGTCTATTAAGTCGAAGGGCAGAAAGAGATCGAGTTTGTCAACGCGAGATAGAAATCAATCCTGTTGAATATGGCGGTGGCGCTCATGTTCTAAGTATGCGGCTGAGGTAGCGCCACTCAACACAATAAATCGTCGAGTTTAGTGTATCGTGCAAAGTATTGTTTTTGCTTAAGTGTTCATGCGTGCATGTGTTTGGAAACGAATTCAAAGTAAGCTGCCGGATGACCTCTGTCCTGCAGAACAAATTGTCTAGGCCATCGTGTTGGTTATGGCAAACGTATCTTACACTAGAACTTCGTTGATGAATTGGTTTTAGCGGGAAAAATGTGACCCAGATATAGGGATACTTCACTCAATCATTTCTATAGACGATACAGACATTATGTTTATTTATAATATAAATGATGATTTAGCGCACTATTAGGGTGTTACAAGCGAATCCGGTTATTCAGTTGCGAAATAAAATTCCACTGGATTCGCTTAAAAAGTAAATACCGGAGTAGGGTTAGTTGCATTGTTTTTTTAATGAGTGTTCTTTGTTTTAATCTTATCCGTGACAAGATTACAGCGGCAAGTTTAGAGAATGGTCGGTGCCTATGTTAAGGTCATATTCCACTTTATTGGAGATGGAGCATCAAATTGAAGTCGACTTGTATTCATCTGTAGACAATTAGTAAATTATAAGTGATGGAAACCAGTTCATCATAACCGAGAAAATATAATTACACAAAAATATAGTATACAAAAAATAAAAATAGCTTTGCTACACTGAGATGGGCCTTTTTCTAGAGGCAAGAAAAGTCGTAGCAAAAGCAAAATAAAAAATTTAAAAATGTGCACCTATTAAGAAGCAAATTGCGAAAACTTGGCTGTTTAGTAAACGTATTACTACTACGGCTGTATTACTCTAACTACGCGCTTCCCTCGTGACATGAACCCAATTTGAAAGAAAAATTTTGTAGATATTGTTTCCTCAAGCAGAGATAATGACAATAATAGCAAGCGGATTCTTTAGAAACCGTATATGTTTAGTAATTTGTTTTTATTACACGTTTATGTTAGTGATTAAATTTTATCATCCTTTTTCTCTTTTCAGGAAACGGTGACGAAGGAGAACCCCAACACGATCCTTATGGAGTAAGTCAAATATCGCGTCGACGTATGCCGCAAATAGGACAAGATATAGTAGCGCACAATTAACTGAAATGTTGTTCAATGTTTTGTTACATAAACATACATGGCTTCTCAAACTAATCGTATGATTTTAAATAAAAACCAGTTAAAGCACCATATAGACGAAGGATACCTATGCAATATTGGCTTCTAAGTATTTTATTTTACTTTAAATATATTAACTCTATGCATTTACAGCAATCCTGACCTTCAGAAAATTCCAATCTCAGCTGACACAGTTAATCCAGGTAAAGAAAAAGTAGGAACGAAGGACTTTGAACTGCTTAAAGTGTTGGGAAAAGGCGGATATGGGAAAGTCTTCCAGGTTTGTGACAAATACCCATTGTTTTAGCGTATATTTTTTCACTTACCAAAAGTGTAATAATTTTACCGTACCAAATAAATTTATTTCGATACAGATGGATCTTGCTTGCTACTCGATAGTCGCTTTTTGTCTATCTATCTATTTCGATGCTTATCTTCACTCATTGATGAATACCGTTTATTATTTTATACTTTTTACTTATTAAACACTTTACTTTTACTTATTAAACATTTATCAATTGTCTTGATTTAGGTTCGTAAATGCACCGGACAGGATAAGGGAAAAATCTTTGCAATGAAGGTAAGAAAAATGTGTAACTATTAAAGGTGCTTATAGTAGAACAACGTTGTATTATATTAGTAACATTTTTCATGTGGCTTACTTTTTCTAGATAATTAAATTAAATGTTATACATTTTTCGTTTGGCGTTACAGGTGCTTAAAAAGGCGACCGTCGTACGAAACCAAAAGGATACGGCTCACACGAAAGCCGAAAGAAACATTCTTGAAGTTGTGAAACATCCATTCATCGTCGACTTGATCTACGCGTTTCAAACGGATGGTACATCGAATTTTTGGTCGAATATGGTCTCAGCTGGAAGATACTGCTTACAAATTATTTTCAATCTTTCAGATCTTCTGTGCTGAGAGGCTGCACGCTAATTTCGGTGAATTTTTGCTCTCATTATTTGCGGAACTTGGAGAAAGTTTACTGTTCTCGCTGAAATCGAATTCAAATTTGATATTCTACCACTGATCTGTGTTCAATTCGATTTTTATTTTGTAATATGCCCGCGAAAAGTTCGACAATGTTCTTTGCCGCACTCATGTTAAGCAAAGTATTCAGGTAGGTTAAAACCTTATCAATAAACGGCAAATTAAACGTGATTTTGAAATTAAGGAACATCACGTAAACAGTGTTTTACAACATTTCAACTGCTTTTATAGTACCAGAGCAGAGCAGTAGTGTTAGATTTTGTTTTTGTAGAACCTGCGCTCTTTCTTCGGAATGGTTTCAACACTTTCTAAGTAGGATGACAATCTCTTTGTAAGAAGAGTAGTTTGTAGTAAACTCTCCTCTTAGCAAGGCCGGAACGGCCAGTTCAAGACGTCTATTGTACGAGCTTGCTAGTTTATAGCCGAAACTTGGGATTGCTTGTAGCTTGGGTTTCCAGGGTGTTCACTTTAGTCCAGGCTGAAGGCCCGTAAAACTTGCGGGTCGCAGCGCCTCTTAATGGGTCAACTCTTAGTCTCGTTAAGGTCTGGCAATATCAAACTATTTGCGCTAGATTCCAGGTGTGATTATAAGAAAGGCGAAAGGGATCTCGCGGATTGATGGGGCCGGTTATGAGCACGAAGTTCTCGATTTCAATCCTCGTACGAGGTGATAACTGCCCTTCGCGATCGCCATCGTATTGGCAGGTGCCATTCTCTACCAAAGAGTTATATTACCGATACATAATCGCTATCCATATTCACAAAATTAACTTAGCTATTTGACCGCCCTGCTGTGCAAAGCCTGTTATACTTGAGGAATTGTGTCTCGCGGATGCTTAAGACGCCAGTGATCCCGCTGCTCAATGTTTCCAGACTCTTTCCTTTAATATGGTTCTTCTTTCGTCGGTCAGTTCACCTCAATAGCTATATCGGCTGCCTTCAACAACAGACCGATGAGCAGTGATGATAGGCAAGATAAAGAAATTGGCGTTCTCTTGGGCACTTCCATTTACAAGATTTTCATTCACCGCATTGCAGTTTTAGTAAAGACGGATAAGCGAAGCTGTAACCCGGTTGGCTAACATGGCCGGACCGGTTCCTCTGTAAAGCTCCTCACTCTTAAGAGAAGATTCTGCTTTTCAAATTAAATACGTTCGCAATATCTGGCATCTTTAAATAGCGCTACCGGGCCGTTAGTGCTACTCACAAACCGCTTGGTTTGGGTACGGTAACTGTCGATGCTTATTTTGGGTAAGGTAAATATAGGCAGATCTGTCTGTTAGGATGGAAACTGTCTCGAAGCAGGACCGAAAAACTCGATAATACTACTGCCTACTCTTACTGCTATTTCCGACGCTTGATCCAGTATCCAAGCATCCGCACAAAGATGTCAAATATCTCACGCTTGACCTTGTGGATGATTGCGCCTGTTTCTCTTTTGGGTGAGCCACCCTCTCTTACTAACGTTACGATACGGTGTAACAGGAAGGATAGATAATTAATTACTGCTGTATTTATGTTCTGGCATAACGGACAGGCTTCATTTTGTCTGCCACATTTGTGTCAAGAGGATCAGGCGTTGTTCAGGTGAAAAATGTGATCCAGCGGAAGATATATGTCCATAAACTGTTCTTGCAATCTTGTTATTTAGAAATGCCCTTCCCAGTTGCCGTCACTGCCTATGGTACTCGACTATTCCGAGCTAATGGAGTAAACAATCTTAGTTGACGGATCGCGACCCTAGCGTTACAACTTGCTATTCAGGCTCTAAGACGTGAGGGCACTCACTTTGTCTGCTCACACATCCTAGGAGAGCTTCCGACTTTTTACCTAGATTTCGGACTAGTGAAGCTGTAATCTATTATTCGATACACGGAATAGACATTAGGATTCACATCGTGGGGCTTACAAATATACGAAAAAAAGAAACCTCTAATCATACGGCCTACGATTTGAACACGAGCAGACAACTGTGTACGACTTCCACTGGAAGCTTTGCGATTGCGAACTTAGTGACTGAAGGAAAGAAAGCGCCCATTGTAACTGTGAGCTGTACTGTGGTAAAACCGCGTCGTCTGTCATCACCTGGCGTCTTCTCTAGGTAGCTCGGTATACTGACGTAGACTTCGCTATAATTAATACTGAAAATATGCAAATGTTTAAAATTTACTTTACAAAAATAATTGTCATGATCAAGGCAGAAGCATATTGTATAGTCATTTTTTTGCTGTCGTTGGAGAATGAGTTATAACTGTAAATTCTCTTATGGCTAGAACTTCTGCAGGCATCATTCAGTATTAAAACTATACATTATTATTATTGCTATTAGCTTATTATATAGCTATAATAGTGATTAACAATAAGGTTTTATTGCTTATAGGGAAACTTTATCTAATTCTCGAGTACTTATCTGGGGGTGAGCTTTTCATGCACCTTGAACGAGAAGGTATTTTTCTCGAGGATACGGCGTGTTTTTATTTAGCGGAAATTACCTGCGCGCTCGAACATCTACACAGAGAAGGTTAGTCAGTTCTGTTAGCACTTAGAACCGGCATTTAAGTTTCAAGTTCGAATATAATTGACTTCTTAATCATTCAGCACAATGAATGCAAGTCGCTTAGTTATCAGTGGGCTATTCCAGAAATTTTTTTCCGTGGGCCATATTACATTTGATTCAGCTTTCTCGTCCAATTAAATGATACAATATCTGTCATTATTTATTTGTAGGTATCATTTATCGAGACCTGAAGCCGGAGAACATCTTATTGGATGCCGATGGCCATGTCAAGTTAACCGATTTCGGTTTGTGTAAAGAGTCGATTCAGGAGGGTGACATGACGAATACCTTCTGCGGCACAATCGAATACATGGCGCCAGAAATTCTTATGAGAACCGGCCATGCCAAGGTAAGAATCCTTTACAAATAGATCATCATTTAATGGGGTTGTGTTAGAAGCGTGCTGAAGCGATGAATGAAAAAAGAGCTTAACGCTAGCACAAATTTGCCCATTACCTATTTCTCATCTTTGTAAAGCGTGAATGAATAACTTTTTTTGATTTTTAACGAAAAACCCTTTTTTAACATTCTTGTCACGTTTCGCATAGTAGTAGTTTCAATCAATAGCGTTACATTTATCTCACCTTCCAATCACACAGGCTGTCGACTGGTGGTCACTGGGTGCCTTGATGTATGATATGCTAACGGGAGCTCCTCCATTTACCGCGGAGAACCGCAAGAAGACTATTGAAAAGATCCTTCGATGCAAGCTCAATCTTCCGCCGTACCTTACCCCAGACGCAAAGGACTTGCTGCGGCGGCTTCTTAGACGACAGGTATACTTCACTGGGTCGAAGTTTAGTATCGTGTATTCTTATCGCGTGACATTTGAGGGCCTAATTTCTCTAGCAGAAGCGCAGCATTCGGTTAACTCCCACGTAGACCTGAAATTTTTAATAATGATCCTATCTGGAACAGGGATACGGTAATAATTACCAGGTCAAATCATATTAAATCGAATACGAAATCGAAGTACTATTAAAACAATTACGTAAAATCCGATGTCCTTTAGTAAAACTTGCATGGCACCCTTAAGCCTTGAAGTCAAATAAGAATTTGAATTTTTGGTTCGGTTCAATTTAAGTATATCACTGTTTCTAATTACTATCCCTCAAAAACGAGTTTGTCTGTAAATGCGGGCTTTTTTGATATGCGCGTATCTTTGCCTCTCTGCTGGAGTCTCCATGAACCATAACCCAATAAAGCTGTGTCGAACATAATAGTTTTGCTATTCTTTTGTTTATTTACCCATTTCTTCTTTCGTGTATTTCTTTACCTGTTCTATAGGTCACACAGCGATTGGGTGCAGGTCCAGGCGATGCTGAGGAGATCAAGTCTCATCCGTTCTTTAAAAACTGCACGTGGGAACGAGTGACATCGCGAAGTACGGAACCACCATACAAGTAAGCAAAACTTCACAGCTGTAGCTAGCTATCGGTTAAGTAGACGGCATAATCGTCGAAATTGGGAAACCCACTAAGACAGACATAGCTCGGTGCGATAAACCAAACGTTTGGCAATAATGTGGTCGTAAATTAAAATTGGTCTTAATATTAAGCCTTTGAAGACTTAGGATTGGCGAATCCCTGTGCTGTGGAGCAGGAGACCCTCGCGTAACGATAGTTAACGCTGCCGAACTCGACTGCTTCAGAAAAACGAATAGATGAAAGGGCGACATATAGAACAATCGCAGATTATTCTGGTTGCATTATCTGGGCCAGCTGGTGTATTTTACAAGTGTAACGCCTGTTCCACTAAATGAATATCAAAATAGTTCGAGCTTTTGTCTTTTACGTACCTAGTCTCCATAAAGTGAAGAGTGGTTAAGAACTTACCAATTTTCAATATTACTATACCAAGGGTGTCTTCTTTCTTCTGAGCGATCCTAAAAAGTGCAAATCATTGCAGATATTTTACTAACAGTTTGTAGCATGAATGTATTAAAGGCCGCCATTGACAAGCGAGGACGACACATCCCAGTTTGATACGAAGTTCACCAAGCAGACCCCTATTGATTCTCCGGATGACGGTTAGTCGAAATTTTCATCATGAATAGGCTAATGGCTATAAAAATGCTATTATTTTGGCCTATCTATTCGTTCAATTGATATGCGATTAAGATGCAAAACAGGCTTCCTGACTAGTTCTGTTAATAGTAAGACAATTCTGTGCCATATAATTTCATTCGTTTTGTTGTACGGAACAGGAAATATGCTCTCAGACTCCGTTAATCAGGCGTTTATAGGCTTCACGTACGTAGCCCCATCCGTCTTTGAAGAGCTACGAAACCAGGCGGAGCCTTATGTAGTTCGTGCGCGATCGCCTCGGAAGGGTGGAATGACATTCTCGATAGCGCAATCCCAACCAGGTAGTTGTATTCTGAACGAAAAAATGAAAGTTGCTAAAGCACATACGACATTCTCTAATATCTGTTATTGTAAGTACTAGACAAATATTGTTTTAGTTATGACTATTAGTCTATATGTTATTATGACTATTAGTAGTTATGACTACTAGTATTATAGTCAGAATTCGCGCGAGCTTCAGAAAAATTTGCAAATGACCTTTTTGACCAGTCAACTTAGTTCAGGGATCTTTTGCAGAGTTTCAATAGAGTACTCGCTGTCTTACATACGAGTAATTACGTCGATGGTAATTTTGAGAACATTTTCTGCTAGGACGTTGCCATTTATATCGTGGAGTACTGAAACCACATTTCTTTTTACATTTGCAATAATGTTCAGCATTTTCATTACCTCAGGCATCGACGAAGAGGCTATGGACACATCGAGTGGACTGGTGATACCGATTCAACAACAAAACCAATATTTACAAAATCAACACCACCATAGTCAACAGCAGCGACGCAAGCCTCCGCGTCCGAATGAATGAAACGTCTACAGTAGAACCAGAGCTATATTACTATTAATAATAATTATTACGATATTAATAATAGTTATTACTATATATGTAATGTTTACTGTTTTACAATGAGTTTCCATGCGAGAAAGGACGATAGAAAAAGGCCAGTCATACTATACATTCACAACATGCGCGAACATACAGATTCCCAAATACATACATACACAATATAAATACAATTATTGAGAGAGTATTATTATTAGTTGTTGTACAGTAGGTACACACCGATGTTTGGGCGCCGTTTGTGCAAGCGTCACACGTCAGCGTAGACAATGTAAGAAGAATATATCTGCAAAATTTCAAAAGCGTGAAAGGGGCGCGCCGGCCCACAAAGTTACAGAGGTGTCCTTTAAACTATCTAATTTTTGTACCCTCTTTCAAGAAAGCGGACGGCACCTTAAGGGGGAGTGTGTCGGCCTAAGTGACTTACAAATGAAGAGGCACGAGGTCTGCCAGCAGGGCTATGAAAACGCTGTACTACACCCCCTCTTATTGGAGAAGGAGAAAGCCTTGGGGGTGGCCGTTGTCGGATTGGGTGCCTAGTTAAATGGGCAAGCGAAAATGAAAACTCCATCGATCAGTAATATAGCACACAATGGTGTAGAATACATTAAGTGGCGTTGTGGAAAAAACAGGCAGCCTTTTCGGAAAGTGCGGACAAATACCTACTTTCACCAATAAAATCGAAGAATTGTTTTGTATTGACTATTGTTGTCAGATCCTCGAACTGTGTGTTACAGCCATTAATACGGCGATATACAGAAAGAAGTCAGTCGCTCAGAGATTTAGATGGAAAAATTTTACAAATGCAGTCAGCTAACCTTTGGTAAACAGTTATGCAATAGTTTTATGTTCTGGTGACAAGCAGCTAGCTCGCCCATGCCTTTTCTGTTTACATGATCAATGTTGTATGCTGTTTTTAAGCTCCTAAGCAGACATTTGAGCAGCATATATTCCATTAGCACGAGCAACGCCTACTTCTGCCTGTAATTGTTTCACCTCATTTGGTATAAACCTGTTCTTCGAGACTGAGCGAATCTATGCATGACATGCGATGAAGTATTTGATGGGTCATCAAGGCCAGGACATCTGAGACGGAAACGTTGTGAGAGGCACTTTGCATTACTGACGCTTCTAATTTTGCGGCTCGCTTTGATAATTATCGTTGATTTGAAGGTCAACGTCGAAAAACATATGTTCTTTAACTTTCTCTAGCTCGTATTGTCTAGCAGGCGCAGCTCTTCATAGCTATCGCTCTCTTTCTTTGGTACGGTGATAGCATGGATTTTCGCGGTGTTGTTCCACTAAACGTAAAATTACAGCATTTATTACGTGTTTCAAAAAAAAAAAAAAAAAAAAGACCTCTCGCGTCGAATATACGTTGTACGGTTTTCCCTTCCATTAGAAATTGTTCCAAATTTGAAGGTTATAAAGCACATTTCATATTCTCCAATATCAGTCTGTAAGTTCGAACGAAAACTTAGTGTACTAAGTATATATGTATATACTTGGTATAACACGAAATCTACTAAGTGGAACTACTGTTTCATCCAGTAGATTTCGAAATATTTGTGCTAATTCTTCTTACACATACGCGCATTACGGCGGATACATTTTAAACAACTGGTAATTCCAATAATGTTTGTTGTTGCTCGATTAGCTGCTGGAGCAGCTTTCTGCTTTCAGCATTGTAAAACTGTTAATGCTGGGCTGGAATAATCCAGTCGTGTAAGAGAAAGGTCTTGGGAATAGGAACTTTTATTTATTATATCTATTTATTTTCAACGCCCTTAGCTATTTCTGCCGTTTCAACAAGCTCTCAGAATCACCTCGTCAGTATAGCATAAAGGATTTGCATCCATTAGAAGCTCTAGCCGGGGTGGGTCTTGCTAAACTTATTTTGGATCTTTCTGACAGATCTATGAAACGGCATGAAGATTATTTGCCAACGCTAAAATAATAGAGATCTTGTCAAACCACGAAGAGCCACAATATATCGAGAAATCAAACCGGCTTCGTACTGATATCCGCGTGGAAGAAGTCTCAAAAGGGATGAGACGCTACGTTACTACGCTTGTCATCGCTGCGCTGGGGGCTGTTACAAATCTATTTGTTAGAATGTTGTGATAGTTCTTTTGCATATGTTACGCTCTAACATTACACATATACATATGTACACACCAGTACATTCGTTCGGAAAGCTTAAGCATACTCAACAAGACATTGAAGGCATGAAAATCACACTTGTTTTGTAATGAAAATTACCATGTGGATTTGTTTATCGAGAAGTGCCGGTGTCGATGTGAGCTTGCGTCTGCGAGAAGAGAAGCCACTGTGAGAAGAAAACAAAGAAAAACGCTGAGTAACCGTGATACAGTTAGTTTCTACAAATATGACTAGACATTACAAATAGAGGTTAGCAGTAAATAAAAATTGCCAAGAAAATGTCAATGTTGTATTTTTGTGAGGAGAAAAGCAACAGACGAGGCAGATCAGCTACTATCACCATTAAGTTACAAAAAGGTAAAAAAAAGTCGACATAATGCAAAGACGACGAGATGAGGTAGAATGAAGTAATAGCTAATTTTATAGAAACTGAAGAACCTGTATCGAATTAGAAACGATCAAAGGGCAAAAACACAATGTCGCTACAGATCGAAAAAAAATGTTGTTATTACAAAGCTGTTCTGTTGTCTATCGCATACATATTGCAAGCGACGATGTCACTTACTGTTGTTTTAGCTAAAATATCAAAAGGCAAATGTTTTAGGTAGACGTAGAGGTCGGTTGAGAAAAGACGGGATACGAACTGTAATAATATTGTTGATGATGTTAGAATAGGAGAATAACTTAATACGATACAAGTAATCGAAGATAACAGAATTACCGCAAGAGGCTAATGATTATGAAAATAATAAAACAATTAAATGACAAATCATTATGAGAATCATCCCTGGTGCGATTCCTAAGAAACTCCATTATCTGTTTATGTTAGGACTTGTGTTGCTGATACGATCTTTTGTGCAATAACACAATAATTCATGAAATGCATGTTCGTGAAGTACTTCGTGGACTATTTTAAAGCGTCGTTGCTTTTGGAGGACGAGTAAACGTGTACAAAATTCCTCGGCATTGTTCTACGAAGCACTAATGATTATATGTAAAAACGAATGCTAATGAGGAAGAAGAAGTATTTTTACAGGAGAGTAAAGTACATCTTGTAAAGAAAACAACAAGACTCAGTACCTTCTTGAGAAAGAACTTCTAATATAATTGATTACATTGGTTTACTCATACGTTTGCTACCTGACCTGGTTCGCCTTTTTGCAGTGCAAAATTAAAAGGAATATTTCACTGTTTTTGCAATAAAAATAACTTGCCAACGAAATTTTTCCTGTCTTTAGCTGCTAGCTGACTGTCTGCGTGACGTTACCGTAAAAGAGAACACGCCACCTAGAGACGGTATAAGACTTGCCATTAGGTAAAAGAAAAGATTAAGGCTCATTGTGTTAACTTTATGGTACTGCAACTTTATATTTAACTTTTTTTTGCTCTTGGCAGTTGACAGTTTCCGATACGAAATGATTCTCTATTATGGTTTGTTTCGAACGTAGGTCCCCTTACGTGTCCACATTGAGTTTAAAGGGCGAGCGTCTTACCACCGTCCTGTAACAAGAGCGTTACTATGACTCCGACTAGGTGGTTGCGATCCTAAATCCTAGCCACTGTTTTTCGCAGTATCTTAAGTATATAGACAGCTAAAATGGGGTCAAGCTTTAAAATTGAGAGATGAACGATGAAAAGGGCTACCGGTGCTGATGATTAAACAAAAACAAACGAATGACAGGATCAATACCGAGGTCTCTCGCGATCTTTCTTATGAGAAAGCCAGCAGTTTAGCGTGCTTGGTCTAACCGTGTGACCCATCTGACATTTTGAACACCACTATCGAAATGCATCGAAACTTTAATGATACACCATTCAACGTATATATATGTAACGTGAATAGGCCTAATTCGGGGGGGCAAAATAGCGTGGAATATGCAGATTTACCTATGCGAAAATAACAATTCCAAGAGCATCTGCACGATATTTCATTTTAGAACGCTTTATTGTACACATTTATTTACATGGTGTACCCAGATAAAATGTAAATTTTTACACTTTATAAGAGTGATGATTATATATAAATTGCATTGTTTTATGGCTTACTTTTACTCTCAGAGTGTCTATATAAATGTATGCATTTATCATGGGAAAATGTGTATAATTGTGATTATCACATAGAATAACATCCAATCATTTTAAACTGAATATATATATATATATATATATATATATATATATATATATATTCAGTTTAAAATGATTGGATGTTA